TGATAGAATTTGTAGTTCACTGTAACAGTAGTAGTAGGTCGGGTGATGAAACTTCAAACGTAAGTCACCCTTAGTAAAAATTTAAAAAAATGCCCAACGAAAAGAGCTTTTAAGTCGAATTGTATTCATTTACTGTGTCATCATTTTTAGTATAGTTGTACGTCTAGTCACTCGTGATTTTCTTTTACTTCTACGTCTAGTGAGGAGACGATCAGTAAGGAGACGATCATTTTCTAATTCCATATTTATAGAAGCGATAAAGTGTATATCTATCGTGTACTAGTAGACGGGCATGAATTAAGAGTTCAAGGGCGAATAACACAGATATACGAAATTGTATCCGTCGAAAAGTAAATATGTTTTTTGGTACAGAACTCCAGAGCTCCAATGAACAAATCTTGTAGGCCGCCGAACAAATCTTGTAGACCGCAATGTATTCATCTCAAAGTGTCATTATTTAGTGCAGTTGTATGACGAATTAACACTGTTGCGGGCGACAGCCATATTTACTTTTTCTTCTGCATCTAGTAGAGAGACGATCATGTTTTAATTATGTATCTATTTTGTGATAAAATGTTTAGCACGTACCAGTAGACATGAATTGAGAGTTCAAAGGGAAATGGCACAGATATACGCATTTGTATCCAGATATACGCATTTGTATCCATCTTATAGTAAATATGGTGCAGTTGGAGGACGAATTTATATTAATTCGCTATGTAGCAGGCTCGTTAATGAGAATTGAAAGTAAGAATGACATAACTGTTCTTCAACTCTGTGTCCCTCAAAATCTATACTGTACCTTATTTTACGTGACGAGTATGCTTTATTATTTTTCGATATTGATTATATTTCTATTTCCACCGAGTAACGACACTTATTTACAAATTTTACTGATTGTTGCTTACGTACTTGTGACTTGTGTCTTGTGGTTATTGGACTCACGACTATTAAAAAGCCCCAAACCACAGAGTTTTCTGCAATTTTCCATAGCCTTCTGAAAATTAAACAAATATTTAGCTAATTAGCATAGCCTTCTGAAAATTAGACAGGTTTAGGCAAGAAACCTATAAAGACATTTAGGGTTCGAATCTAATAAGAAGCCAGACAACTTCAGTTTTATTTTTAATTAGATCAATCAGTCACTCACTCATCGCATCGGTGATAACAAAAAGATTTTAAAGAACCATCTCAAACTTCAAAGACTCAAACCCGGTGATCCCCGCCAAAATCTTCCAACCAATAATATTGATGATAATTTTGTCATCGGGTTATATCACTTCAATTACCTTTTATAGGTAAAAATCAGAGTTTTGTCATTGTCAGCAGAAGAGCACAACACAACAGCCAACAATGACACAAGAAGAGGGCAAGAGGGTTGCGTAGGAGATTTAACAAGGTGAATATCAGAAAAATGTTTGAATAAATAGCACACATTCTCGATGGAACGTTACATTCGTTTAAGTGCTCTCTCTAGATTATAGTATTGTTGATTAATTATGGGAGATAGATTGGTAATCGTAGGCGACTGCGGTGGCACCAACACGCGCCTATCACTATGGAGTATACCCGCCGACGCTCCGGTATGCAGTTTGTAGCTCACTAAGACTTCGCCCTGTTAAAAATAAAGGCACAACTTATCACAGCACACGTCTTTTGACTATCCAGTGGCATTATCGCCTCTGTGAATGATTACATGGATTCTCTATCGTTTGTTGATAATTCTATTTACATGGGCCTGTACTGGCAGGTCTGAAATTCTGACACGATATCGCGATGAGCTATATTTTATATATGTTTCAAAATTTGGATACCAAATCTCACACACAAAATATGTCTGATCACAAAATGCCGAATATCTCCCGAACCCACCGTATATTTACTATTAATTGTTCGGTTGAGTCTACTGCTCACAACAGCCTTGAATTTCTACCTGTCTTGGTATTTCCCTGAGCTAGTGAATACTTGATGGAGTTGATATTCTCATAATCTCTGTAGTAATGCTTGTCACTCCACATACTTCGTTCGCCTATAGAGAGATTATAAGTCTTAACATATTTACTATGTTTGCCTGTCTACGACTCGCCCAGGAACCCAAAAGGAAAGAAAAAGCTCCAGGCACATTACAGTTCGACAATAAATACCAGAATGAGCAACACAAGAACTTCTTGGACATTATGAAGTTGTTCCTAGAAGAGAGTAAGACTTCCGAGACCCCTGTGGCGGCATGCTTGGCATGTGCCGGTCCCATCCTCGATAACACCGTTAGCTTCACAAACATAAAAAACGGTTGGTTCATTTCGGGTAGCGCTCTGGAGAAGCAGCTGAACATTAATAAGGTATGGTGTACGAGTACGAGCATGAAGTGTATCTATGTGATGTGTATGTTTATAATCATGTGTACGAAAATATAAAAATTCGTGTATAGTTGGTCCTCTGTACCAACTGGTGAGGTACAAGGCGGATGTTGAAATATGCAAAGCATGTTGCCATTGAGTGTTAATATATACTCCTAAATAGTTGTTCTCCTAGACGCCATTGCGATGTTTCTGCGGTGTTTGTGTATCCGAGCGTATATTGATTTGCGATTTGTAAGATATCTCATAAGAATGTAATTTTGAAACTCGCTATGGTACCAGTGTTTCTCGCCTGTACTTGCCTATTGCGATATATTTTCTATGCTCTAGAAATGGCCCGATTGTTTGCTTGTAGTTTAGTTTGGTATTACCCAGTTGCCCATGCCCCTGGTCGTGTTTCCATAGTACATTGCAAAATATCCTCGTCGTTCTTGCCAGAGTCTGGTCCTGTTTGTGCACGTTCGATGGAAGATAGGCATACACCCCGTGTGTATTTTGGATCATAATCTATGTCGAGAAAGCACAATTCCATTCGTATTTTGTATCCGAATGGAAACCTGTATTTTCATGTGTTGATTGTGGTTTCTGCGTTTTATCTCAGACAGTCTTGTGTGGTTTTCTAACTGGTATAAAGCTGTATCTTTTGGGTATGATAATAGCGGTGAGTTCATCTTATATGTCGATTTGTATATCGATTTGTATGTAAGTTATATGTATGCATGGACACGTAGAGTTTGCTAAGTCGATTAAAGTACTAAACGCAGCGCAGTACAATTTTACGAAACAAGTCCAATAATTTCACGGACTTCATCGCATTACCCATCGTTAGTACAATATATTCTTAGATATTTGATGTGGTCTATCGATACAAAAATGCGTTTTTATGTCAATGTTCGCAAGGGTTGAGCCAATCGAGCTATCATTTGACGCCTTTTGTTTGAAGCATTCTCAGACTGTCGTTAGCTTGAATTGCAACCGTGTAGCCTATCAACTATCAAATACGCTAAGACTCAACATGCACATGTTAATTGACGACATGCAGGTACTTCTTGTGAACGATTTCACTGCCATGGGTTACGGACTACTGACACTTGCTGATGACGAGTGTCTCATCCTGAACGATGTGCCACCTAAGGAGGGTGGCGTGGTTGCTACCATCGGTGCAGGCACTGGTCTTGGCGAGTGCTTTTTGACTAAAGACCCCAAAGCGGTATGACGGAATGCTGTTGTACGGTCAGAAGTTCTCGATAAGTTCTCGTATCAGACAATCATATCTATGATTTTCTGGGTAAATTTGTTACTCCTCGTACTAGGTGGTGTATTTATAACAAATCTCACTACTTTTTAGTTGTATAGATGTGTGAATCTGCTCTTTCCCGTATGCTCATTTAGTTGAATTGTACTCAAATTCCTATGTGAATCGGCACATTTGGGTTTTTAGAGGCATGTGGGTATAGAAAGAGTTGTTGTACTTGTATCCATAAAAATGTTCTTCCTTGTGCAGCCATACGCTTCAGGTAATTATGTTGCATGCAACACACCAAGTCTGAAATAAATAACAGTATGATACAATAGTGCTACTTACAATTCAAGAATGAAATTCTCTGATTCAGGCCGTTGTACTCCGCGCGGAAAATCAATGCCCCGGAGACTTACTGTTGTTTGACTCTCATGTCACATATTGGTCTTTTGGCACCTTGCAGAAAGGTTACAAGTGTTGGGCAACCGAGGGTGGACATACTGATTGGGCCCCACACACAGATCTGGAAGTGGAGATACTAGCATACGCACGCAAGAAGTTCAGAGCCAAAGCCCGTGTATCGGTAGAGAGAATCATCTCAGGTGTGTACTGTGGGTGACAAAGCACATACTTATACGCACATAGTCGGCAACTTCAATCAGAATTGAATAAGACACCTTTGGATACCTTGTTGTACAATTTTTTCATAGGCACTTTATCATGTCAATGCAGCTTGCTCTGCATCGTTTTCATATGAGCATTGTATAATATCATACCGCTTTGTCGAAGCACTAGTTTCTCATAACTAGTTTTAGTATTCATTTGTCTCAGGCCCTGGAATTGCGCTCATCTACGAGTTCCTTGCGCTCAAAAAGTTCCCGGAGAAGGTCACTCCCGCCGTACACGAGAAATTCATGAACGGAGGTGCTCAGAAAGGTATGGTCGGCGGTGGTGTTGTTTAAGAACTGGTTCACAAGGAACACTACGGCACGCTACTTAGTTGTAAACCGGCAGCGAGGATTATTTCTAGTGTTCAGTCATTTTCCGTGCGTGCCTTCTTGGAATTTGTTTTGATCGAGCGCGTATGCGCTCGGCCCTAACAAGCATTCACTCCAACCAATGTATGCTACGAATTGGCTTTCCGATAAACGTGACCAGCAACTCATAATCATCTGCGAATCAATTTGATAGCTTACAAGTACTCCCTGTCTGAACTTCATATTTTTCTTCAGGCGGTATCGTTGCCATGAACACCAAAGAGTGTGAGTTGTGTGCGCAGGCAATGGAGATTTTCTTCAATGCCTATGCATCAGAAGCTGGTAATGCAATGTTAAAATGGCTGCCTACGGGTGGCATGTACTTGACTGGCGGAATCAACGTCAAGAACCTGGAGTATTATACAAAAAACACTGGTATGTTGAATATTTGTCTATATATATATTCATATTCATATTTATATATATATTCATATTTATATATATATATGTGTGTGTGTGTGTGTGTGCGTGTATGTATATATGCATATATATGTATATGTATATTTGATATATATCTATATAGCTATTTATATATATATTATGTACATATATATATATGTATGTATATCATTATATCTTTATTATCTCTGTCTCTTATTTGAGCTTCTAAAATCAGTTGATTCTTGAGGTGTTGTGACATATCATCTGTTCTTCCATCTTCGCGCATACCTCCAATTGAAGTTTTTATGCACGACCATGTACCATTGCTCACATACAAGATCTCCTCGATGTGTATGTATGTAAATTGATACTAGTGTTATATATTATAAACTGCAACAAGCAGATTTCATCGACACAATGTTGGATAAGGGACGCATGAATGCCGTTCTTTCGACCTGTCCTATCATGGTGGCTAAAACCGAGGATGTTGGGGAGCGAGGTGCACATTTGGTTGCATACCAGCTGGTCAGTGGAAACTAATAAATCAAAATGGTCTGCTTCTAGCGAGAATAGTTATGTAGTCTGCGCGTACGATAAATGTTGGAATAAATATTCGCCCAACAGCATAACCCGAATATCCCGGATTGCTATATAATAATCTTTTAAGCACTCAAAAAATCTAGTAAAAACCATTGCCTTCTGTCTGATTTAGAAGGCTATGTAAAACCTCTACTTCTAATTTCGTTGCACAACGCTATACTACCTAAATATTTGATATACTGAGACTCAGACTGTGCTGCTCGTGTAGGCTATCTTTTGTAGGAAGATGCGCTATTTTGCCATCAGAGCAAAATGCCCGTTTTGCCCGTATCATAGAATTAAAATTTGTATTTCATTTTTTTATTTGACTCTAAATTGTGCCGTAACTATTCGCAGACATCATAATCTACCATAACCTCTTCTAGTTTGTACCACCGCCCCAAGAAGCCCACATCCAGTAGTGAGTCCTTAATGGCCGTAAACGGGTCTTCGCTAGAAAGTGGGTTCCTAAATTGTGAGAAAGCAATTTTTTCTTCAGCCATATATTCTGCAAGGACCTGGATGCGATTGTACTGCGTTTCCGAATTTAAATTTAGTAGCAACTAGTTGTTAATTTTACTCGTCTCTGCCAACATGTAAATTGATAACAGTGCACAGGGTACGAAAGCTCAATTAAAATAAGAAGTGCAGCGTCACAGAACTGAAACGGCAACTGCACCGGCACGACTATACCATCGCATACCATGACAGGCGCTACAAAAGTCTTATCAGTGCAATCCAGGGTGAAAATCTAGCTTACAATAAACATACCCTAATTGCTGACTGGGGTATATCTTAGTGTCCTCCGAGTTTGGAATACGCCTTAATACTGTAAACAGCCCCAGGTGATATACCTTTAACAGGCCCTCATTTTTCAGTCGCATCATTTCCTAATGATAATAGATCACAGTAAATACAATTATATATATAAATTTTGTGACGTCAAAATATCCCCCGAAAGATATGAATTTTGAAAAACAGAGCAAGGTACGTACAAATATCTAATTATGAGACCTAAATATACTCCACATATATATCAATATAAATACAAATATAAATACATATATATATATATATATATATATATTTATTTATTTATATTTATATATA